CAGGGAGCCTTCCTCAGTGAAAACAGGGATTGTTGGCCATGCACAACACTCCCTTTTTTCCTTGTGGTGAATAGGAGATTTGCTTAGAGCTGATGACTTATGCCTTTCTTACAAGTTATGCAGTTAGCGAGCGACCGTGGAGTCAGGCAGCAGGCAGAGAGGAGAGGCTAATTGAATCCAGTGTCTTCGCTTTCTTCTCCTCTGGATGCGGGGCTGTGACGGGGGAGCCTGCCTGCTCGTGTAACTGCAGAGAACATGTTTGAGGAGTGCGCGATCCTGACTTTGCCACCGTGGAGTTGACACGTCGGAGTGAGAGGCGCTCAGAGTGGGGAGGGGTGGGGGTACCGGGCCTTTTCACAGCTGCCCCCTCTTACGCCTGCTAAATGCCGAAGCCGGTAAGTTACTGAATATATTTCATGCGAACGGAAAACTTTTGTTGCTTTGAGAATAAGCTTTCTGCTTGCTCCTGCCTATGGTGCATCTTTTTTTTCCTCTTTAAATTCCTCTAGATTTTTTGCTCCCCCCCACCCCCGCCTTCCCCGTAACCCTGAGCATTCTTGCCCAGCAGGCTCACCCAGTAACCATGCAGAGTTTTTGGCGGGGAAGGGCAAATATTATGTTTGAGAATGTGGGTTAGAGCTCACTTGTGAGTCGTGCTGGCTCTTCGCGTGGGGGACTTGAATTCAGACAGTGCCGCACATTGTTTCTCAGAAGACAACTGATTGGCTTCTTTCTCTTAATTTTAAGGTGTACCTTCTATGACAGCTTGAGGATGTAGGAAGTTGAAGAATTGATGTCTGATTGTGTTCTGGGTTCAAAAAAACCATTGTGTGATTTTTCTCAAGCGAGCACATTTGCAGTAGAAAAATATTTCCAGAAACAGTTATGTATCTTATACTGCTAAGCAGCACTGAGGGAGATAACGAGCACTTTATTGTGACGGCTCATTGTGGATTTGGATTTGGGGAAGCAAGCTCAAGGAGCGATTCCGCAAAGGGCGCTGCTGTAATCTTGCACTCAGCATGGTCTGAAGCAGTCCCTGAAAGAGTCTAGTTGCTCCTCGCAAGTTTGGTTTAACCTTTATTCCAGCAGACTCATTCTGATTGTGCGGGCACAGATCCGCTGTGTGGCCTTTGGCAAGTGTTTATTCTGCACATCCCAGTTGCAGGAACTGTTTGTGATCAGGTTGAGGGAAGTGCCTGTTTCAAGACAGCACGGCAGGCTCACGTCGAGCCGGGAGGGCATGCTCGTAGTGTGCTCTCGCACACGGATCTTCGCTTTCACAGACGTGATTGATTGTGTTCCCCCTTTTCTGATCATCCCACGTGTAGCTGTCTTATGAAAAGTTCTCCATGCTGGCTCCATGGCTTTCTCATTAGAACATCGCAGATGTGTCAAGGATGCACTTGTTCCAAAAGAAGCTGGAGAGGAAGGAGGCTCCACCCTCTCACTCATGCCAAATGGCCCGCAGGTTCCCCATTCAGCAGCCTGGCAGCCCAGTGGTGTGCTATCTCTTTAAAGCAGCTATAGTTTTGTGCCTTGGCTTGGTCAATTTGTTATGGTTTAAAACTGTGGAGCCAGCTGTCTGCAATCTGATGTAATGTTGCTATGGAAACCAGAAATGAAACACTTAAGCATTCACCACAGAATTACTACATATAGCATTAGCCAAAGTAATTAAAAGTTGAGCCATATGGGCTCTCTGGTGGAAAAAATCTGCAGCAGAGAGGCTGGAAATCAAATGTTTCTATTTACAATGTTGTAAAGCCACTTTCCACATCCTTTCTCTCTTGAAGGTTTGGAGGAATACAGATTATTGAGTTCACCTTATGGTTTATAGGCAAATTAAAGTTCATTTTAGTAAACTTTCAAGAAGGACTTGGCATGACAGCCTGTCATATTTGAACACACATGAACATATACTTTTGTTTTCCCACTTTGGTTTATTTAAAACCTGTTGTACGATAGCTCTGAACCTGTTTTTTTGGAATTTTTTATTTTACATGCAATGCATAGTTCCTATCTGTTGTGCAGATTTCCTTTAGGTGGGATGATTTCTTTTTAAAAGATTTGCAGTATCTTATTGAAAAAAATTCTATACTTTTAAAATGTTTCTTAAAATATCCTCAAGCTTCCTTCCTTTGCAGTGTTTTTCCTGAATAAAAAAGACTATGATATGCTATTTTCAGCATTTAGAAAGTGCTGCATGGTTATTTGAAAAGAGAAACATGACATGAAGGATTTCCATTTTACTACCTAGTATAGAAGAAATGCAGCTTTTTACAGCAACATTATGTTAAAACAGCTGGGGAGAACTTTTTAAAGGCAAATATTTCGCACAACTCTTTCTTCCAAACTCAGAAGGAAGTATGAGGTCAGTACTTCTCCTTCAGTGAAAAGCATCCTTGGGCTACGTGGCTGAACTCAAGTAACCTAAGAGGAAATTTTTTATTTTGAAAAACATACATGCACATACATTTCTGAAATGACTTGGGTTTTATCTTCATATAAATGGTGCTGCCTCAATCCTGCAGGCTGTCCGAAGCATGGTCCTACAAGGGAAGTTCTTGGTTGCCATGGTTTGTGATTTGTCAGTGGCAAACACCTCCAAAACCTTCATTTTTAAAAGGAAAATAGAAATAACATCAGTTCAAAGTTCTGACTAGCTCACTTTTCTCAAAAAGTAAATAGAACATGAGAAAGCAATTAAATAAGTGCCTGGAATATGTTGTTTTTCACCACAGTGAATCTGGGCGGGGGGGGGGGGGTCTTTGTGAGGGACATTGCCTTTATGTGTCGTCCTGGTGTCTGTTTTTCCATGGATACTTTGCCTTTCATAGACTAAGATTTTTGTATTAAATTTGATTTCTATATTCCTTTTCACTTCCTCAGCACCCCCCACCAAACAACAACCAATAAGCTCAGCGTGACACATCACAGAGGTGTATCCCATGGTATACCTTGCTCTATCCTGATCGCAAAATTCTATGCTCATTTATTTTCATGTAACTTCAGGACTTTCAATGTGAGGTTAGAGACATATCCTAGGTTTTCCTCATTGCTCATTGTATTATTTTTCTCATTTCTCATTATAGTACAGAGACTTTCTGTAATATAAGGTTGATCCTTCTGTTAGGATTATTTGGCATTCAAGCTGCATCCAGAGGGTACAATGTTTTTACACATTTACGTGTAATTCCATGCATTGTGGGTTATTCAGGTGCCTATTACCCAGAATGAAATTTAACCAAGGTCTCATTCCTCTGGTTGACCACCCTGACCATTTCATTAAAAATCAACAGTTCAACCAAGTAAAAGTGAAATTCAAACCAGACAGCACCATTATGCATTTGGAACTCTGCTTATTTTATTTTATTTTTAACCGTTTAAGTTTTAGCCAAATGCACTTAGCCTAATTGTCAACATCCCTCCTCTGTTACTTGAAGTCCTAGTTATATTCTTCATTACCTGATAGCCAGTGGTTAATTTTGAAATCTGTATACATTTTATGGAGGAATTGTACAGAAATTGGATGTAGATAATCCATGCATTTCACAGAAGAGAAGACTGAGAAATACCCCTGTCCCGATCACTCGCTGATAGGTTTATGATAATCATTAGTAGGTGAATGGTTTGCTTATGGTCACACGGGAAGAAAGCAGAAGAGTTACACACAATGAGGAGGTGACCAGGAAGTGAGCTGCATTTATCTCTTGGAGAAAGCCGTAGTGTTAAAATATTTGTTCCCTCACAACATGCACCATTTTTATGCCTAAGGTATTAATATAATCTCTACCTCTCCTCTTCTGAGCTATTCTTTGCGAACTCTTGCGTATCTGTTTTATTATCTATAAAATCGGGATTCACGAGAACTTGCACTGGGGAAAAACATCTCACATCTCGCATTTGGAGATGTGGTTTGTTGTTATTTTGCTTCTTGGTTTGAGACATTTCTTTCCCTGCTATTTCGTGAACTAGGCTTGAGGACATGGAGAGAGGTTGTTGGGCTGTGCAGGATCAGCTGGAACGCTCACGGCTTCCCAGGGTGTGCCAGAGATGTGTGCTCCCATAATGTTTGGCCGAGTACCCAGCCCCTGAGCAGCACGCACGTTTAGGAGGAAACTTCTTTTGCTTTTCCACATTTTGCGCAGATACTCCAGAGGAAGCTGCATATTGAATGTTGGAGCTGACTTGGAAACGAAACCCTCATTTTGTTCACAAGGAAAGGATTGTTTTTAGCCTGGGTCACTGCTACAGAGAGAGAATTTTTTTTTCTCTCTGTAATGTTTGATACTTGAGGGAAAACAGCTGGGCCAGAGCATACTTGAATTGCTGCAGAATGGAATGGGATGCTGGGGAATATGGACTGAACTATATGGCTGAAAGGTCAGCTTTTTCCCTTGTCCCCCTTGGAGGAATGCGGGGCTGTCCTCACACTCGCCTTGGGAGCCCTTGGAGTGAGGGAAGGGAAGGGAAGGCCGTGATGTGGCAGGCAGTCCTAACAAATGGGGCAGGAGAAGCCTCTTTTGTATCCTTTTGCCTTTCTTGCCTGCTGGTTTTGATTTTCAGGAGAGGGCTGGAAAAAGTCAACAGAATTTTGGTTTGGAGAAGTAGTTGATGACCACGTTCAGTATCCAGACAGAGGAGAGCCTGGCCCAAACCACAGCAGTGTAACTGGGATGACAGGGCCAGCTCAGAGCTAGAGTCTTGCGGAGTTGTCTTAAAAAACTCAGGGACATAGTGGAATGTGACAAATGCCCACATGCCAGTCAAGGGCAAAGATGTGATTTTTGTGCCTAGGACTTCAATCTGCACTGAATTGGACCTTAAGATGGTAGGGGGAGCTTTGTGAACCTGTTGGGCAAATATGTTGGTGGGCTGAGTTTATTGACCCCGCTGCTGAGCGAGGTTCAAACTGGCAGAGAGGCCAGCTGCACCCAGCTGCAAGGGCAAGGCTTGGAGCGGTTACCGGATTAACTTTTCCTCTGTTTCTTTGCCAGTCAAGAGAACAATCGGATGATGAGACTGAGGAGTCGGTGAAGTTTAAGAGGTTACACAAGCTGGTGAATTCCACTCGCAGAGTCCGAAAGAAACTAATTAGGGTGGAAGAAATGAAAAAGCCCAGCACTGAAGGTAAAGAAAAAGCAAACTCCACCCTGGTTATTCCAGCAGAAATCACTCGGGGTCCGTTTTTCAGCAGAAAGTGTACATGCTTTCAAGTGGAAAATGTATTGAGTTTTGGCTGCGGCTGATGAAATTGTGTCGTACATTGGCACCAGGAAGCTCAGCGTGTCATGAAACGAAGGGCCCTGGCGTCAGGCGTTTGGTAATTTACATGTGATAAAAATGGAAAATGGCTAGTGTGTGACGGGGCATATCAAAGTGTGTTATAGCTTAAGTTAGCAGTCTGTAGTATTTTATATAAACTTTATAACTTCTTAGCATAAGCCTGTAACTCTGAAAAGGACTGTATTCCTTGCTCAGTGAATTTAGTGTGAATTTGATATGCAGGACATCCATCTTGAACAAACATCTTACAGTCAGGGCACTTAATATCCCTTTAAATCCTTGAGGGATGCTTTGTTCTCTCATAAATAAACTTGAGTCTCAATTCAAATGGGGCTTTAAGGACTTTCAACTCGAAGGGAATCTTTAGTAGCTATATTGCTGGCTGCGAAGATGAAACAAAAATGCCAAAAGAGGCATCAGCTGGAATTCATTCTGCTGATGAATAGCTGACCTTGGAATTATAATTAAGACATTTTAAATCCCAACCTTATTTTTCTCCCCTTTTAGTAATATGTATTTGAAGCATCTTATAAAATTTTCCCAAAAAGATCAACAAAAAGAATAACATGTTTTTGTTTGGAAAATAATAATAAGCAAATTAGAAAAAACACTGGGAAAAATGGTACCTTTAAAAAAAATATACTTGTTAAAATGTCACATCTTCACTGTGAGGAGTTTCAAAATTTTAACTAGTAAGTTTTAAAATTATTTTTATAGCAGCCTTTTTATTCTTTATAAATGAAATCAAGCTGTATAGGGAACTGAGTTTTCCCTCATTTGCAAAGATAAGGGTTCTATGGTTATTACTGACACTTTCTGATTGTGTTTGTAATTTTTTTTTTTTTTTTTTTTTTTTTTTTTT